AGATCAATGAACATTCTGAGATTTTACCCAATGTTAGCCTCGGTTTCCACATTGCTACCGACTATCTTGAGGAAAGTTCAACTTATCATTTAGCCCTGGAATTTCTATCTACAAAAGATAAATTTATCCCCAACTACAAGTGTAATGACCAGACCACTACAGTGGCTGTCATTGGAGGACCCCGTTCTCAGACCTGTCTCAACATGGCAACCACTCTGTGCAACTACAAATTTCCCCAGGTGAGACACAAAAATGGAGCAAGATGGGAAGTTCACAAGCTATTTATTACTTTGAGATACTGAGAACTTGTAACAACTCTTCTCAGAAGTATCCCAAAATATCTGGCAACAATACAACCAATTCATGATCTGCAATGAAAATGATCACCACTGCTGTTCTTTAACACAGTATGAAACGTCATGATGCTAAGTTGGTAAAATCATAAGGAAGGCTCTTATGCCCTTTCTACCCAAACCAGAAAGTTGGCTTACACTAAGGCTTCGAAACTGTCTTAAAGTCAAGCCGGAGTGCCAATAAACAAAAATACATGTTACACATTTTTCTTTCAAAATACCCCTTTTTGCCTGTATTCTTCTATTTTTTCCCTATTTAGATCACATATGGATCAGTTCCATTAATAAATAATGAAACAGGAGCATTGTTTGTCAAATGGATGTTTCCAGATGAGATGCACCAGCTTAAAGGAATACTGCACTTACTGTTGCATTTTGGATGGAGCTGGGTGGGGTTGGTTTCTCTCTATCTGGAGGATAAAGAGAGGTTCATTCAAAAGAGTCTTTCCATGTTTTCAGAGAAAGGAATCTGCTTTGATTTTATAGAATGTCTCCCCCAAATGATGTATGGAAGTAAAGCTGCTGAAATTGTGGAAGAGGCACGTAAATTATACAAAGTGATCATGGGGAGTACAGTCATTGCAGTGATCTTGAATACTGAAATTACAGGCATGGTGACATGGAGAGTAATGATCTGTGGTTTTGATTCTAATGCTTTTCCAAAGGAGAGAAAAGCCAAAGTTTGGATCATGACAGCCCAGATGGAATTCACCTCCAT